TTATCCGATGCTACATAAAATATTGTGACATTTTCCTCATCGCTTCTTGTTTAGCACCGACTAAATTCAGATCTTATTTTATACAATAGATACTACAAATTATTAATCACATGATTATAGCCTCCCACGATGGATCCTGAATCCCTATAGATATTAGTTCATTTTAACATTTATTATTAAACCAAGAATGCTTTTTTTTTTACTTTTTAACTCGTAGCTCACATTTTTATACTCTTCCATTTAGGTATATATAGTTTTGGGGGTAATGCATTACACATGTGTTTTTAACGTTTATTTGAAATTTGATTTTTTTATGGGAGTTATAAATAATATAATAGTAGTCAAACATAATCGGTTACATGATACCCAAAGTCCTGAACCACAACCCAGTTTCTTAACTGTCTGAATCCTATGGATCAAAAATGTTTAATGTCATTAACGTAATGTTTGATTTAGAGTCTTAGAGACCCTACTTCAAATTTAATTAGCAAAAGCTGCTCAGGTGCATATCAGAAGCCCTTGTATTCTCTTTATTGTGGTGTACAGAATTTCTATAGGTAATCATCATGTTATTGCATTGTCTACTCTAATTAATACTAATTATTTTGTATAGTGTGTAGGACAATCTACGACAATGACCGAACAGTAATATTCAACGTTGCATACATATATAAATAATAAATGTTTATAATTTTGGAATTATTATATTATGGAAATTAAGATAGTTTGAATTATTAAACTTCTGAAGCATATATAATAATATATTTATAGAATAAGAAAGACATTTAATTTATATTTCATGTGTGACGTACATATTACTTCGTTATTACACACGTTTCAAATTGTTTTTAATGAATTTGTTACGTATTATGTATACTACAGTTTTGTATTAAAGAAAAAAAAATACGTAGATTTTTTATGTGACGATATCTTTTACTTTACCTCCTTCCTATTTTCAGTAGCAGGTCATTTAGTTTATTTAGGAGGTTTTTTATAGTTTAATTTACTTTTTTAAAACTCCTTTTAGAGCTACAATTTAAAGTTTGAAAAAGAAAGATAAAACTATATTTTATCATCATTGCTTATATTTATCTTTAGGTATGTATAAAATAACTGTTTATATATACATATATATCAATATCACATAATATATTAATTAAATAAATAAATTATGTGTAATTCACCTAGGTACAACTTTTTTAAATTTTATTTAATATAATATTTGATATTATTGTCGGCTTATGAAACGTAACACTAAACCTAACCAGTAACCATCGATATTCCATATTGGAATTATTAAAGTGAAAATATATTGTATTATTACTACTATACTCCACAACAACGTCCAGTAAACGATGTGATTTTCAAAGATCGATAACTGTTGACTCGTCAACTATAGCAACGATTATTTGGGTGAATTTTACCCGAAAGCGAGTTTTCACTCTATCAACACTCGAATAGTCAAGGTCCTGAAGATAATATTGAGTGTTATCGACCTCATTGAACGAACTGATCGCTACACCTACGACGCCCACCATATTTTCCTAAGACAGCCGTTTTCACTAGTACCTATATAAGAACTTAAAACATTGACCAGAAACGTTGACGACAAACTAACGTCGAGGATTAACTTCAGCAGCCATCACGAGGGATTTTGTCTGAACGAACCATCGACGTTTAACGATTTCCCATAAAAACAGCCGTTTCCACGGATAAGGACTTAAAATACCTCCTATTCCGCATCGTCAACGTCGACAAGGCCAGCCACGAGACGATACCAGGACCAACCTAAACCACTAACCACGTGAATTTACGACGAACCATCGCTCCAATGGAGAAACACAAAGATTCACCGTCCCTCGCGGTGCTCCCTCTAACACTCGTACACCGCATAATCGCGCGGTTTCCCGTCCAAACATAATATTGACTCTGCCACATAGTTGTGTGACGGTTCGCTGGAAAACATGGGAAATATCTGGGGAAAACTTATATCATGTACCTTGACCCACCGAACACCGTGTCGCCAGATTGTTTGTAAATAATAAACAGTTATAACTATTAATATAATATGTATATTGTACCCGTTTTGTCCTTGAAATAATAAAAGAAACAACGTAATGACTAATAAGTGATTACTAAGTAGCTGGTGTCACCAATGCAGAGGATTTCATTATTTCAGGTGTCCCGTTTACCGTTGATTAAAAATGTAATATTAAAATTTCCATGTTCTTATAAAATGTTTGTCAAATTTAAAGCACCTCGTTATAAAGGTGTATCACATAATAATATTTACAACATAAACACAATACATTGTTAACACATATTAATACATTTCTACAATTTTTGAACATATTTTATACAAAATGCAAAATATATTTTAGGACTTGCAATTAATACCTACTAAAAAACATAATAACTTTTATAAGAAATAAAACCTGGTAAACTAAACAATATTGTTTGCGGTGGTACAATTAAAAGCGAAATTAAAATTTATTTTGCAAACAGGATTCTAAAACGTTTAAGTTATTTTGCTTTTAATTTAAATGTGTAGCTTATTTTGTGTAGTTTTTTTTTTACCAATAATTATTAATCCTGACTAAAATTTAAAGGGGAAAAAACGAATAGTTTTATACTTTTATCTATTATTACTGCTCACGTCTATTATCTAACATCTACTATTGGTACAAAAATACTATTTAATAATTATTAAATTTTACAAACCGAATAGTAAATTATTATAATCCGTTTTTATCTAATTAAGTATAATTAATTATTATGTGCATAAACTTGCACGTTCATTATTTGCAGATGTCGAATTTACTATGTATTTACATTTAGTCGTGAACTACCTATGTCTACACTGTATAATGGTATAATATAGGTAAACCTCGAGTGTATATAACATATATATCCAATATGCAGATGATCAAAGGTACTAGAATTATACTAGGTAATGCATGCATATGTATCATAATATTATACAATATTTATGAATTTAAATACATTTTATGCTATTAATCGAATTAAATATATTATATATTTTATCAATCAGTTCATTTTAATATTATATACGTTTCCCTACAAATGTCTATCTCGATTCTCGATGGATGGATATATTAATACAATATTATATTGTATGGTTTAAAGAACAAATAATTTAATAGTTCTAAATCTATACTAAATACTGACCGTATTAAAATATCTAGAGTTTAATGTAATTGTCTCCGAGGAAAACATTTTAGTGGTTAAATTTTAAAAGTGTTGATGTATATTACTTAAGTTTTCTTTTTCAAAGACACGTGAAACCACGTCATTAATAAGACATTGACACGATTGATTAGACATTTAGACACTATATACAACAGGGAAATAAATTGATTAAAAAAAAATGTTCAAATTATGAAACATTGATACAATGTCGACACGATAAGCCGGAGGATTGTGAGAAATAGTAATACTATAGAATTCAACTATATGTACCTATTCACAGAAGATAATTTTATTTTTTACCCTATTTACATTACGCACAGTACACACAGTTAAGTGCGTAGGTACCTACTCAAAAAGTGTAAATATTTAGGTTTATGCCGAGCTAACACTGGCCGAGATTTGATGTGTTTGTTTCCGTTGAAAAATAAACAAAAGTCTTCTCTTACAGAAAAGCCCAAAACTACAAAGCATTTTGTACAATAATGTATACAATCATGTAACAAGCGTGAGGTAAACGTTAGATATGATAAGTGTGTGTGTGTGTGTGTCTGTGTGTGTGTAGGAAGTGGTAATGGTCATAAAATAATACAAAAAAAAAAAAAAAATTAAAATATCAAAGTACAACATAGGTAGATGTAAAAGATAAACGTGGGAACCAATATGAAAAAAGAGATTGCATTGGGTGGTGACTGGTTTAGACGTGGTCTATGCAGTTATGCGGAAATATATAATACTATAACCTATAACACTATAATCTGCTATAGTTCAATCATAGTTACGAAGATAGTCGTAGGGTAGTCCATCGTCATATAAAAATTAAAGTATTTAAAATACAGTCTTGTAAAGGATTCAAATTTAAGCATCTTAATACATTTTTTTTAACACAATTTTGAATGCATTTAGGATAAAGTGCAGTCTGTGACTATAAAAACACTGTTTTCAGGAGCTATAAATTAATTAATTATAAACGTGGGTAAATAATATTATGTTTTACTGAATAAGTCTTTTTTTTATGAAATATTATCCGTATAATACAAGTAGATATAAATTCTGTTTTCATTCAATAAAATATGAAATAAACAAATTGCAAGTCACTCGAAGCAGCGAATAGAGAGAATACTATATACTATACTGTACTGTTGGTTAAAAAACCGTAATCGATATTGGACTTAAAAATAATACGTAAACAAGCAATATCCTGCCTACCAACAAGTCATGCTTTTGATAAGTGTCTTTGAATTGCGTTCTGATTACGAAAGAAAAAGTATTCTTTACAAGACTGCCGAGTTTTTAAATATTATAAATATAACCACTGACTTCGGGGGGGGGGGGGGGGGGGCTCAGTGGCTATACACTGCACGTGAACAACAAATTATTTAAAATGATAATACCGGAAGACCAGTGTTAATATTTTTCTAGAGTAAAAAATCAGTCCCCTCAAAACCTCTGTTTATAAAAAGTTTTACAGACTATGGTATAGCACAATATTATTATTTAAGTGTCTTAAAATTAGACTAGGTAAATATTTAATTAATTGATGAAAATAAAAAAAAAACTTTGTAAGAATTGAAAATTATTATATTTCTAAAGAATCTTATTCCCTTCAACATTTTTCCCTAACAACAAAAATCATAAGATCGTGTGTCGTATAGGAACTTATTTGAATTTCCGGTATAGCACTACACATATTGGGGGAAATATCAAATAATTATCTACCAAAAAATGGGCAGCCTTCCGGTATTGTCATTTTAAAGTATTATTTGTGTGTACACCCACTTTGAGATACCAACCTGATAAGAAACGCGGACTCATGTACCAGTGTCCGTTGAACCACTGGGTCTCGACTAAAGACCCGGTGCAGAGGTCAGCGAACGACGGCCCCTCGCGGCTGCTGTCCGAGGCCTTGGCGTTGTACGACAGCCCGTGCAGGGCGCCCAACTTGCGGAGCGCCAGCAGAACGTGTCCGACGTCCAGGAACACCTTCTGGTTGTTCGCACGATAACCGGCGGGCGCCAGGTTGGCCAGGACGATCACCTGCTGCTGTCCACCATCCGTGCCGCCGTCCAGCGTCACGTTCGAGTACAGGAACCGCGGGAACAGCGCGAACACGGCAGCCGGATCGGCAGAGCTCGAGGCCAGCACGGGCAGCAGACGTGTGTAGAACACGTGCTCGTTGTAGAACTTTTCGTGCATGTTCATCATGGCCGCCATGCGGGCGTCCGCGTTCTTCATCTTGACCACCACGGGCACGCCGCCCGCCGGCCACTCGGACCCGGTCAACGTGACAGTGCCGAAAACGATGTCGGACGCGAACTGGTAGTCGTCCAAAATCTGTCCGCCGCAGTCGTCCGCGCGGAACGACACGTACTCGGCGCCGGGCCCGAATGCCCCGTCGGCCGCGGCCCGCGGGAACACGACCGTGCTCAGGTAATCCATGCGGGACTTACACATCGTGTCGTCGTCGTAGCGGCAGCGATGATTCCCCACCGTCTCCGGGGAAGTCGTCGGAACAAGCGGTCTCTGTGGGTCCGGTGTATTGAATAATCGTCGCCGTACCGATGTGCCGATGATGTGAAAACGGTTTTATCGTACTGAATAATAAATCCGCTGCGCCGACGATGATACCACGTACTGACGTGCGACCGTCACTAATCTCAATGTGGTATTGTGGTGGCCGCGCAGTAACGCATCTCCGGTGCATCGATATAATTGTAGGTAGGGATTATGTACAGGTTAGTTAAACTTCTTTACTGAGGGTACGACAAGAATATTTAGTCACGTGACCGACTGATCGGCGCGATCGCCTGAATGAAACGCCTAAACGACTGTCCCAGCATTTGTATTAGGTAATTAAATAATATTTTAATAAAATAAATGTTGATGTTTTTACTATCATTACAAACAATCATTACTTTACCAGTTTTCTTTTCATCATTCATAAGTAGGTACCTACTGTATTACATCATTTTTCTGTTTTCCTTTGTTAAAATTAATTTCTTCGTTGATATTTTTTTTAATTTGATAAAAATGTACAATTAAAACTGTTGTCTGTTATTCCAATATTCCGATAGTAACTTCTGCATAGATATAACCACATCATATATGGGTAACCGTTATTAATAACTATAACCGATTCGTATTGATAACCAAGAAATAACAATATAGAAAATTAAAATCGATTTTTCTAAAAAAAAAAAAACGATAACTCAGTAACTTATTTTTTCTTTTAAGAAACAGCTTGCAACTGTTACTAATCACTTTTAAGGCGGGTTTCCACTATACACGTACGCGTGTAAGTGCATACAAAACCTTTGCTGTGATTGGTTGGTTAAGTTAAGTTACCACACGATTGACTACGATACCGTGCTCTTGGCAAACGTGTTCAGTGGAAAACCTAAAGCACACTGCTCCGTGATCCTGTGAACAGTGATTTCAGGAAAAAAAAATTATCTGTGATTTCTCATAATTCTATATTTTTCATATTTGTGGAGAATAGTTGTGAACATTATGGTAAGTGGTAATTCATTTTCTTGTTATCACAACGAAACAATCGCCTATATCAATTAAAATGTATATTTGATAATTATTTTCGTAACCAATAACCACGGTTTGGACTTGAATGAGATTTGATCCTATTCACTGGTATCTGCCATATAACTTGGTATTTACTTATAAACATTGTGGTTAACCACAAGATCAGCCAATCACAGCGCTGAATTATTTTTCTGGAAATCACTATGTCAGTTTTCCGTGTATTAATATATTAAATTATGACGCATAAGAGCATTAATACACAAAACAGAAAAATTATCTACTTAAAGAAGCTCCAGGGAAAATAAATGAGATTTCAATAAGTATAGGCAAACTAGTTGTCAGTAAATCATAAATCGTATTGAATAAAAATGTTAGGCTTAAAACACTTGAAACTGTATACAAAATGTAAATCTGGTAAATGGATTTTGGTAAATTCGGATGTTTTGAAAACAGAATCATTCGAGCTATATGGATTTCGGGTGTTTGATTTTTTAAGAGTTTTCAAGGGTGTTAGGGGTTCTGGTTAATTCGGGAACAAGACTCTGACTGTAATTTTATTATTAAAAATATTAATTATTTTTATGTTTATTAACCTAGCTAAATCAAAAGAAAAAAAATATAATATGGCGTTAAGATCAGGTTATTCGTTTGATTTAGCAAGGTTAATATAAATATAATAGTAGTTATTTTTTAATAATATATAGATTTTTTTTTTTTAATTTCAACTACACAAACCTAATATTCTATCAGTTGAATTACTCTGAAAGAAGTTTCACTTCGTGCGCGCGTACTATCATTACACGCACAGTTTTTTTTTTCATCTAATACTGCTTCGCGTGTGACCTTCACCTGTGCCTATCAAAAAATATGGTAATTTAACTTCGTCTTTTTCTCCGAGTATACTTGTTAAGGTATGTTGTACATCGTTCGTGCTACCCAATGATTCCTAAACATATTCGGAATTATTGTCATCGAGTCGAATCCAAATTTTATGTTAATAGATAGCTACAATCACTGTAATAGTTTTTCGTGGTTATATTTTAAATGAAATAAAATAATAAATTATTAATCAATGTATTATATCGACATAACAATATTATTATTTGTAGGTACCTATACGTGGTCTGACCATGTTTTTGATAATTACGAACCTACGTCCTACCTAACTGATTATTTAAAAATTGTATTTCGATTGGGCCGCAACAAAACAATATGCTCTCCACCGATAAAATATACCTATGTGGTCCCTTCACGGCAACCTGCTCCCCCCCACAATAGGTTCGTTAACCGAAAACTGTTCAAAACAGTAATAATATATGCATAGTCGAGTACCTCCATAGCTGTAATATTAATTTCTTACCCCTCTTGAAGTGTTTTAAAGCTGTGTTTGAGGTAATTATATAATTTAGGTACCTACACAAGTCAAATTTATTTTTATTCCCCTCGAAATTTAAGTAATCAAGATTTGATTGTAAATTACGTTTTATACATATTTTTAAACTTGTATTCATCGAATTGCACGTTCATAGAAAAATAAATCGCATACGTATATTTTTATATATTATAAATGGTTTTATTTTATTATATTATTATTATCATCACAAGTTTGCACGATCAAGTAGGTTCCCCTTTTATTCATTAAGTGAGCGTTTTTTTTTTTTTCATATATTATAATCGCATTAGCTGCGCACAACAAATTGCGTGGACTATAGTGGCGGTTTTTCATTTCAGTTGTTCCCGGTGTGGTGGTGGTCACATACACGTTATAGTTGGATTCATAAAATAATCATAATATAATAATGGTTTACATGGTTGGATTTGGGGTAGTTATGGATTTTATACGTCACACGAGTCGCCGATGTGTAATATTATCATGGAAAAAAATTATTACCGCTCGTAAGTACATGATGGTGAGGGGGGGGAGAGGCACAAACAGACATTTCTTTTACTTTTTGAGAACAATTTTTTTTCTCGGTTTTCATAAAACGCACCGAGTATTTACATTAATTAGTGACTTTTTGCCAGGCGACGAAGCCGCGGTCAACCGAACTTGGTCTAACTATCGTAACATTATAATTTCGTTGTGATAAAAAGAGAATATCTAACATTCTACTCAAACTTGTCTCACCTATCTCGTCCCGTCGAGTGAGAATATAAAATAATATATCATTACTCCAACCATATTATAGATAAATAGCCCGTATAATTGGACACGCATCATAATATTATAAATAACCAAATTAATGTAAAATTGAGACTGAATAATAATATAATATCATTATTGTAAAATAGGTTAACATGTCGAAATGGTTGAACCTTTTATTATGTAATGCGCAATGGTAAATCATATGATGTATTATTTTGATCTTAAAAAAAACCGTTTCTTTTATCAGTGTTGTTATACAATTATTATACTATGTATAAGAAGTTATACATATTATTATTATGTCACGTTTGTCATAATTATATAATAACTGTTTTAAGCGTCGCCGACTACCGTTGGATATAAATTAACTGACGTAGTGTTTATCGGCATGTAGATGTATAGCTTGATGGGAATCTAAAAAAAAAATCTGGAAAAAGCTTTCGACAGTGTGAAATCGCTGTCTTCCCATAAAATTATATTATCACAAACTCGATATAATTTTTAAACAATATTATAATGCGAGTTAAAGTCTAAGAAGTGATCGATTAGGTTAATATATTATTGTAGTGATATAACGAAAATAAATAAGTATTTACCTACATAATTACAAAATTGTCTTTATTCGATAAATCGTGTGCTGCTTTTGAGTTTTGTGCTGTACTTTTGTGTAGATAAAATTATGCAAAAATATGCAACAATTACATTTATTTTTAAAATGTTATTCTAAGCACCTACTTCGGTTGTGGTACTATATTTACCGACCATATTTTGATAAAACACAAATTAATATGCAGACCAAAAAATACTAGAGTGCTCAAGAATACTGATATTCTAAGTGGTACCTATACGGGTTGATTATCATATACTTATTTCTATTTTATCTAAATCCCCATTTTATATTCCTAGTTGTTCACGTCATGCTAATGTTGTATAATATTTTCGAAAAGTTAGGTATTAATTGTTATTACCTATTCAAAAGTTTCAATATATTAAAAATATCTTCCAAGGCTTGTGCCAGATATTGGAACTTAGACTTAAGTACAATCAACCAGACCAATTTTTTTTCCTAGTCTATTCAAAAGCGCATCACAAGTATTTAATATTTTAATTCACGTTTCGTTAAAGAAACAAAATATGTAAGACATGTGAAATATAAAACACAAAACAATTATGTGAAAGGTATGCATTTGAATATAACATGTATATAACGGATTCTTCGAACTATGAATTATAATATTATAAAATTGTATTGTTTAAATTTAGTGAAATTGAAGTCAATATAAAAATTAAGGAATTGTATTAGGTATTTTAACAAACCATATTTTGATAATAATTAACAAATGTATAGTTTATTAGGTAGGTACCTATTACAAGATTTTTACAATGATATTCCACGTTACTTGGATTTTCAAAATGTTAAGATTGGCAACATAATACTATACCTAGTAATGACAAGAGATTTGAATTTGAATTTTAATACCATATAAAAAAGTATTTTTTATAAGATATCCTCACAGATTAATTGCTTAGTTATTTACGTAAAATGATAAACTTATATATTTCATATAACCATAATTTAATAAAACATTAAAGAACGAGGATCGCCAATAATAAAGTTAAATAATTGGCAATAAGCTATATATTATACTGTAGTCTGTAATATGTATTAAAGCAAATAATATAATTATTAATAATTTGTAAAAGTTGAAAATGTCTGAAACTGTTAATTGAATGTTGATGAACAGCTCAAAGTTAATTGAGTTTACTTTGT